CATACGCGCGGGCTCGGATGAGTTATTTAAACTGTGTCAGAATGGAACTTTTAAGTAAGACGAACATGAATGCGTAGATACGGCGAATTGTTTAAATTTTTTATAATCATTTGTAACTGTTAACTGATTAACTATAAGAGCCAATCGACATTGACTGTCAATTTTGTATTGGCCAATAGGAATGTTTCATAAAACGCTAGAAAAATCTTCTTTATTGGTTATTTAGGTAGTTTCCCTAATATTAAATGCATAATATGGTTCATCGTATCAAGTATACGATACATGTTTAGTTTAATTTTATCCGTTGATGATTATTATTCCTGTTTTTGTCATTTAACTTCGGGAAATGAATTATCCAAAATCACCCCAAAAACCCCTTTTAAAATAGTAGGTAATATTTTATTGTACCATTTCAATTAATATGCATATTTCTTTACAGGTAAAGTACGAAGTGCTCATCACTTAAGGAACACCCCATATAACAGTAAAAGCAGTTGCACTTTATGATGTCATTTCAGTAAGTAACGATAAAGTTAACTGACTCTACTTAGAAATTAATACGGACCTTTGACGTAACTGTTCAAGATGTCAATTGACTTTTAATTATGTTTTTTTTTTATCCACAACGAGGAAGCTCTTGGTCTGTATCTCACATGATGGTAAGTGATGATCAGGCCAAAGGTGGAAGCGAGCTTCACCCGGAATCCTCAACCACGTAGTAAGATGGTGGTAGCTAGGTAGGCGGACTTAAAACAAGCCCTACCACCACCTAAATCGAACAGAAAAATCTGCCCCCACTGGAAATCGAACCCGGGACCACTGCGTCTGAAGCAGGTGGTCTTACCTCTAGACCACTGAGGTGGTACTGCAATATTCGTCGTTATGAGACGGCACGTCCAGACAGCACATTAAGATTAACACCGTGGCATCTTATTTAGATATAATAAGGTCGGTTTTCCAACAAGAATGTGTAGTCTAATGTACTGTCAACTATACGTGCGCAGGAGCAGCTAGCCTCGGTGAAAGTAAATCTCGAGCATTACTTGTTCTCAGTAATACCAAATACTAACTTAGGATGTGACTGCAGATATATTGTTCGAATGCAATACGACTTCTAATGCTGATTTTAGATTCAATTTATTTCACACCGCATACCTAACCTAGTCTGCTTTGTATCTAATAAAATACCTCTGAGAAAACTTCCGGTGATGTAGCAACTACAAGCAGCTACAGTAGTTACATTATAATACGAGTATTTGGGTTCCATTCATCATCATGATTTTAGCCATAGGACGTCCACTGCTGAACATAGGCCTCTCCCAATGATTTATAGCTTGACCGGGAGATACGGCATTAAGCGCCTTTTTTGCAACCTTCATGAGATCATTTGTCCACCTTGTGAGTGCAGTACGTCCAGGAGTTCCATTATAAGAATTCAAATTCTTCGTTTGTCTCTGTTAAATTGGAGAGGATCTTGTGCCTGCAGTGGAGACAAAATAATCAGATGATGATGACATTTGTCGAGATATCCTCTGTAAAGGCATTCTCTAGCAAGCGCTGAAAATTAGTGTACTGCCCTTTTTAGGGCAGTGTTTACACCACAGATCACAGAAACTAAAGGGAGATGTGATAAGGGGGTGGGGCCGGTGTCGCAGCAATATGCCCAAAAACAGAACACATTGCTCGTGACAGCAATGATGGCAGCAGCGACGTCATTATGTAAACAGTTTACATTTCTTGCGTAGTACTAAAGATTATTCGAACGTTGAGTACAGGTACCGCAGTGGAATAATGAGCACATATTTTGATTATTTTATGTGTTTGAATTTCTAATGCGACACTGAGTTTCGAACTCAGCGCATTAGTTGGCATCTGTCTATATCTCTATGATTTACACTGAGCTCTTTGCTTATGTATTTTTCTGGATTTGCTGGTCTCCTGTTGTTTTCTTTTACTTTTAATTGTGTGTGTTAAGTGTTTGCAAATAAATGATTTATCTATCTATCTAATCTTTCTGGAAGTAATCTCTCACAGCTTGCTATATCTACTGCATACAAGAAGCAATATTATGAAGCGTCGACCGGAGAGATCATGGCGTTTATTACTTCCCTGTGCTTTTGCTTATTAGATTTCACGTCAGCAGCATGGTGTGTTCACCGACAGCGGAACTGTTATTATGGAAAAGTTGGAAGATGTGAATGTATCTGTAGAACCAACTATCTAATGCACTGTCGGCATCAAATCGTTCGTGACACCCAAAGTAGCCCGCCCATAAGTTCGCAATGTTACAATTGGATTAAGGTTGTGTTGAAAAATTTTTGCCAATTTGGGTGTCACGTACTATTTGACGCTGACTATACTATTCATAATAACCTCATACGCCAGAGTAAAGTAGCTGAATCGGCCTGCATCTGTATTCTTATAGAAACTATATACAGGGTGTTAGGTAAATGGGTATATGAGCCGACACTAGCCCATGTTAACATGGTCATATAAATGGTATGGTGAAGTCAGAAATTTGATATCATCATTTTAATTTTTTTAATTTTCATACAAAATAAATTTTATAAAATCCGATTAGGAAAATAAGGTAAAAAATACCGCCAATTCAATTGATAACCTACTCTATACGAGGTACGAGGAGGTCTAAAGGAGGCGACTCTTTCACAGAATTTAGCAACATAAATGTTAACGATTGTGGTTATGTATCTAGATTATTCTAGATATAGGTTTTACCTGAATACTAAGTAATTACGCATCTACGCAATTTTCCCCCATAAACATCTGTTAACAATTTACATAATCTAGCTGCAATAATGTAATGCAGCACTAGTGCATACTGACTATGTTACGTTACCAACTCTGTAACGGTGACTTTTTACTGCAATTATGTTGTTGTACATAACGTGATAATGTTTACAAATAGATAAAAAAGCTGTTTACTATCTGTTTTCATGGAATAAAATCAAAAGATTTATCTGAATACTTTTTGATAGGATTGAAATTTTTCACGTTTCTGATTGGCATGTTATAGCATTCTCTCACTCGGCTTAGCTCCTCTGGTCGAGCTAAGTCATTTTTTTTCTGTTTACTAATATTCCACAAAAATAATCTCCATAAAAATAACCAATACATTTCGTAGTTAGAACCATTTCGTCATCATCATCATCAACATAATTTCAGCCACAGGACGTCCATTGCTGAACATAGGCCTTCCCTAATGATTTTCAAATTGCCCCGTTGGTAGAGCCATTTATTCTTTATTATTGTAGGTAGTACAACAGGCGTCTAAAGTTTCTTATTCATGAGTAATATCTGAAGTATTATTAATTAATTAATTAATCTTGTAACATAATCTGAAGCAACTGTCATCTCCGTATTGTCCTCCCATAAACGGTGGTGACCTTTCCGAAGTGGGCCACGGGACCCACTTACTTCCGAGGGACTGATGTATGATGCAAAATCATTGTTGATTGTTTCCGCTTCAACTTTAATCTGAAATGCAGTGCGACTCGTGAACTGCGAACTTAGGTGGTTCTCAATCCAAAAATTACTCATGAAATATCTTAAAAGACCTGACTGAACTGACTAAAAATGGCCCGTATTCACAAACATTACTATGAGGTCTCACAGTGCGCGTGGATGCACAGGGTGACACACGGGTCACGGACCAATCACAGAGCTCTATTCAACGCTGTGTGTTCGATTTTCTGCTTCACTTAAACAAGCATCGTTTGTGAATAGGGGCGTAAGTAACACATGACACACTTGAGTATAATTATATTCGAAACAAAGGGAACAAGAGAAACCTGAGGGAGAAACAAAAGGTCTCTGGCAGGCAGAATCTGGGTAATGGCTAAACTGAAGACAGAGTGCATATTGGAGGAGGCCTACCATCAGCAGTGGGCTGATGATGCTGAAGATGATCACTAAATAGCTAGTTAAATAATAGCCTTTTTAGGGCTTCCATTTTCATCTGTCGTTCATAAGATTAATCATCATCATTATTACCTTGGTCAAAATCTAATATACAGATATTTCATATAATATGCTAAGTTTCTCAGTACTCCAAAGTCTACGTAGCCAAACATACTCACTCACCGAACGCCTAAATAAGTACTCAACTCATACAAACCGTTGCATAACCCGGTGGTAAGCCGATGACTCCGCAGAATCGCCCGTTCCCGCTTGACACATTAGGTAACAGCTTTCGATGGTCTTTTTAGGTCATAATGATTGAAATTATCGATCGTATAATATTATTAATCCTGATAAGAACTTACGGATACGACGTTATTGTTCCTTCGTTCACAGCAATATTTTGTTAAGAGTTCATTCTTTTTGTTGCAAATATGATTGCTCTATTGCTTTTATAAGTCGAATTGGTGTATGACATTTCTTAATCCACTAAACCCCTAGGATAAGATAACCCATACAACGTGAGCGTCACGTTTTGTGGCATGTGTAGTTTGGTGGCGTCAAAATAATTATATGCCTGGAATCCCTCTTCGTTAAAGAATAGAGTTTGCGTATTACATTACCGGGTAAGTGATGATCGGCAAAATTTTATCGTCTGCATATACTGCCATCTACCTGTATTACAATACACTACTAAACTAACAAGTCAGTTCAATGTTCCTACAAATATTGTACATGACTAGTTGCTTTGGCGCCTCTACCAAAGATGGCGCTGTAAGTTTTTCCTGTGAATACTGTGGTTAAACGAAAACTGACAAAGTTTTATAAAAATGAATTCACCTTTAGATGTCTGTATTTGAGTAATAATTTTAGGTAGTACGAAATAATTTAAGCCATTACTTATGTATGAATGAATTCTCTTTAGACCACAATGATTCTACATAATTGATATATTATTTTTTTTTATGTGATAGGAGGCAAACGAGCAAACGGATCACCTGATGGTAATGATATAATTGATACTAAAATAGGCGAGGTTAAAAAAACTGGAGATGCAATATTTAATGATTTTATTTTTCCATAATACTTATTTACACACATCCACACACATATTAAAATACTAATATTAAAAACGCAATTAGACGCCTTCGTCAAGGATTACTTACATTATTTCAACAAGGATGCACTAATACATAACAGTATTTGGATAGTTTTTCTTACAAATTAATCTAATAACGAAATACAATCTTATTGATAACACAACCTGCTTAAAATTATTTATACATTTTAAAGCGTTCAATTATTATAGTCACCGGTACAAAAGTCGATAAAATAAAATACCTAACAATACAATGTTAAAAAAGCTTACATCAATATTATCTACTATTGTTGAATTTTTGTGATGCAACGACTAGATTTGTATCTTTATTTGCAAACATATTGAATAAAACCCGTCAGTCCGCAGCTAAAAGTATTTTTAATTTGCTGACAGCCTAACGAGTCTTTTAAAATTAATATGGCCTAAGAATAGCTACCTACTTCATTTGATGCGTCAGCTTCCCCTACTGCATAAATTATCTCCTCTTTCTTCTAAGCCTAGTTGCTCTAATTTAGTACAGTTTATAGATCTCCTACTTCTTTTGTCTAGCCAGGCTTCTTTGATCATATCTGCACCCTTTTCAGCCACCATCATGACTGGTGCGTTAATATTACCATTGGTAATAGTAGGCATCATGCTAGCATCTATAACTCTAAGACCTTCGACACCATGGACACGTAGCTGTGAATCCAAAACAGCCATGGGATCAGTTGAAGGACCCATTTTTGCAGTGCCAGAAAGATGGTATATCGTCATAGTGTACTGTCTTATCAAACAGTCCCAATATTCGTCCGTGTATAGAGGTAAATGTTTGCAATTCGGTAGAGGCTTATCATGAAATCTGGCTCCGAAACGCTTCATAGCTTGTGTTTGTCCGACAGCCACAGCAGCCTTAACACCCTCTCTTAAAACGCCCACATCATCTGGATGAGTGAGGTAGTTGTGAACCATTATTGGGTATTCCAAAGGATTTTTGGACCGTAATTTAATGAAACCTCTACTCTTTGGACGAAGCATCATAGGGAATATACCGAATACATCTTGGTTGTTGATTTCAGCGAAAACTTCATTGTAGAAGTCATCTGTGAGACTGTGCGCCCTCTTCACTTGAGTCCCTCCATCAGACGGTGTGGAACATGACGTCATCATAAACTCGATGTCTGGCCAATCGTCTGTGGCGTTTGCATATTTTGTATTTATGAAAGCAACCACTTCTAACCCAATGCTCGATGTGAGAGGGCCGTCTTCAGTGACAGCATATCGTAAAGCTGAGTTAATATTTACAAGCCTGTTCATCACCAAACTAACAGGATAGTCAACTCTGAAAACGAGTCCACCAACAGCAATGTGATCCTGCAAATTTTTCCCAACACCGGGAGAATTGTGGATCACATCAACGCCGACTTCTTTCAAATGATCTTCTGGGCCTACTCCAGATAGTAGGAGTAGTTGAGGTGAACCGATCGCCCCAGCTGATAGAATTACTTCTTTAGTTGCATACACGACCTGCTTGGTTCCATCTCTGATGAATTCCACTCCGTATGCTCTTTTGGTGTCTTTGTCTATTAAGACCTTTGTGACGTGTGAGAATAAAGCTATGTGAAGATTCTGTCGCAGCCTGACTGGTCGCAGAAAAGCTTTAGCAGCTGAACATCTCGTTCCTCTTCTGATGGTGAACTGGTACCAGCCGAATCCAGTTTGTTGTGCTCCGTTGACGTCCAGTATATCGTAGCCCATTTCTTCTCCAGCTTGAAGCATTCCTGCTCCCAGTGGCGTGTTGTAAGGCGAATCTTGCACGGTCAAGTAACCACCTGAAAAGTTCATAATTGTTTGTTACAATAGCATATTCGGTTATAATACTATTTTTAAAAATCTGCAAAATAATGTTATGTATAGAATAGAAGTAGTACTAGTAGAATATCCGTCTATGGGGTATAATTGAGGTCACAACCCTTAATTATGAGCCAATTCTAATCTGACAGTCATTAAAAGCATAAATTGTACCTCCTATTTGTCAGTAAAATTCTGATTAAATGCCAAGTGATGATAAGTAATTGTATACCTGTCGAATGGTGTCGCTTATCCCTAGCGAGGTAAGGATTCCTCTGGTCCTCCGACTTTTTGAAGTATGGGAGTATATCTTCGTATCCCCAACCAGGGTTCCCGAAGGACTCCCACTGGTCGAAGTCTCGCTTGTTCCCTCGGATGTAGAGCATCGTGTTGAGGACTGAAGATCCTCCCAGGACCTTGCCTTTGGTCCAGCTGCAGCGCTTGTCGATCATAGCCTGGCATGCCGTGTCTTGTGGTTGAGTGCTGGAAAATTAGGAAAAAATACATGTGAATTTATTTTGAATATATATTTGCGAAATAGCACTCATTACATTACAGCTACATAAAAATTGATCACCCGTTTTATTTTATTTATTTATTTACTATTATTTTCATTATAGATTTTGATATTAATAATACCTAATGCATAGAAGTGACCAAACGAGACATTCACTTCCAGTTTTTTTCTTAATTTCTCGTCTTTAGGTTGAAAAGTTTCTAAATATACCTACACCAAATAGTTTTTTACACATAATGACTTACCGGTATTTCCAGTCCAGTTTACTCTTATGAAGATACAGTGACAGCAGCGGTACATCACTAATATCCGTTTCATGACCACCTGCCTCCAGCAGCAGGACATTCCATCCTTCTATCTCTGTCAACCTATTTGCCAGCACTGACCCTGCCGATCCTCCTCCAACAATAACAAAGTCATACTTCTCGTTTAAGAGTTTCTGGTTAAAAGGCCTGTTTTCAGGATCTAGAAGGTCATAGTTGAAGTATGCCATGGTTGCGAGCATGATTGGGATGAAGGTGAGCTTGCTGAGACCACCTATCGCTAGGGCCGCCTTGGCAGCAGTCGCTGCCACACTGAGGACTCCCATGGTGGATCAGCTTTGCATTCTTGGGTCCTGGAATAGGGAAAAAGTTCATGTATTAGATAATCGAGTATCATCAAGTGCATTTTGTTAGTGAAAGGAAAATCTGTGGAATGTAAACATCTGAGTTACAGCGATGAATTTTATTGCTCTTCTTAATATTATAGGCGTATGAACTGTTGTCTAGTTCGCTCATTAATCAACAAACCTTTTTACAGCAGACATTATTTATCTAATTAACAATTTTATGTAAAAAAAACTAGACTCATATCTTTAAACTTTAGGTATTTCATTGTTCGACAACTCGCCCTACTTATCTCCGTTAAGATTACTTAGCACCTAGAAATTATCTCATACATACTTATTATATAATTATATTATCTTTATTCCCAATACTGTTACCAGGGTTGGCTAGAAAAAATGTGTTTATAGAGATTTATGTTCATCAATTCAATTTTCTTTGACTCTATCATGTTTATTATTACTGCTTTCTTTTATAAAGTGATTAATAACGATCCCTTGACTTTAGCATTTTGAATAACACACACAAGTCAATTCAGCATTTATGGTGATAGTAATAACCCGTATCCTCGTTACCTCAATTCGATAATAATTACTATAACTACCTTTTATAATAAACCTTAAACAGGTATGTTATATCATTCTCTTGGAGCCGAATTTCCGAAAGTGAAATGCATATTTTTGCAACTCGAAATTCCCGAAGTGGTTTCGTAATATCCAGGTGGGTACTTTTTCATAAGCATTATGAAGTCAATAAAATTGCGGAAATTAATTTCAGAGAAAGGTCTTTAAAGTCAAAATAATTGTGTAAAGTCGCCAGTTGACCTATGTAGTTCAGAAGTTTAGTCTAGAAGACCGAATGACCATTTCTGGATTTTGTCCCTTAATGAGATTCCCAGCATCGAGCCGAGTGATGTATAGGTATAGTAGGTATAATTAGTGCAGTAGAAAATCAATGTATTGCTTGATAACCCAATACATTTGTCACCCTTTTTAAAGACTAGTTGTTCGCGGTTATTACGGCCTTAAGTATACCATAAGATCCGTAGCCTATGGTATGGCACGTCACGTAGCCCGCGCAACTCTTGCGCAAACCCTTATGACACTGCGGTTACAGTATACTTATATTCAGAAAGTGTATTTAAAATCTTAATGCCTAATAAAGTTTCGTAAAAAAAAATCTTTATGTTCTTTTATAATGCCTAATGCAGGTTACAATGACGTCCTTAGTCATAACGTCACTTGGTTGTAGGACAACGACACATCAGGCTAAATACAACAAAAATATTTAGAATCAGTATTTATGCGGCTGCATACAGATGGCAACAATGTTTTGTTCGATCAATATAATTGTTCCGAAATTAATTTTAAAGGCAATAATTTACTAAGAGCATAATGTATTTTTTTTGCAGTTGTGAGTTTCTCATCTAACATTTTTTTAAATTATTAGATAAAATGTAGATAGTAGTAGTATACCTAGTATAGTTAATTATGTAAAAATTTAATCAAACCTACTGTATATTGTTACACTGTGTGCGGGCGGTTCGAATGCGCGCGCGCGGCTCGTCTGCGCAAAACTCTTTGTTTTATACGCATCGTAAGTGACAACGTTTTGTAATCTGTGGTCGCGGTTGTAGATGAGCATGGAATACTGGTTCAGAGGTGGAATTGTGTAAAGCAATTGTTATCATTTGACAGTTCATAACGTACGATTATTCTTTCAAACGCTTTGTTTAACTGACTTTATCGTACGTTATGAACTGTCAAATGATTACGATTGCTTTACACAAGTCCACCACCACCACTGGTGATGTATGAACAAGACGAATGGTTTGTTATGGAAATGATCCGTATCATGTAGCAAAATACAATTTAAAAATATGTAATTGTATCGTAGTTTTTGTTTTTATTTTTTATCCTCTTCCTTCTTACTCATATTTCTGAGCTATAATGTTACAAAAAATATTTTTTTTGTAAGAAAGCTATTAAAGAGATTTTTTATTAAGTTTCCTGTTGTTTTATTTGATTGATTAGGATTCAATTTACGGTATCAAATAGTCAGAGGAGCAACCTCGAAATGTTTAATAAAAATAAAAAAATAAATTATTTTTAGATAATTCCAATTTTACATCGTGGAATAGTGGCAATATTACGTAGAAGTAATCAGTAGGAATGTGTTACATTTCCTTATTCTCATGTGGGAATAGGGTCGCATTCGCCTTGACTTTTTGCGTTCGCTGTCGTTCCCATATCGCGGGCACAGGCTTTGTTGAACTGCCCTAGTATTAGAGCAAATACTAACTTGATTAATTAAAGTAGATTGTTTATGACATGTAGGTCCTTTCCGACAAAAAAGGAGGAAATGTAAGACCTAAATAACGATACAGTTTTGACTTTGAATCGAGTTTTGAGCTTTGACTAATTTCGGTGACTTTTACTTGGCACGTACAATATCTCGTTAAATGAGCTCCCTATAAATAATGCTTACAAAATAGGTATATGTTTCCTACCAAAGTTACTACAAAGAATTCGAATAAAGCGAAACCGAGGACTGATTACTTTCGCCATCTTTCGCTCTGGAATGCCTAGACCTAGCTCTATCTGACGCGAGTTCACAGTATTGTATTAGATAACCTCTCTTAGAATACCCACCCACTTGCCTTCGTAACCGACACTATTATATTTTCAAAGGAAATATACAGAGCATTATCACGTTTCTTCACAGTCAATTAATTTTTTTACCAGTAAAATTACATGTTACATCCTAAGTTAATAACTCCACGACATCATACTTGAATTATCATGTGAAAATTTATGATCAAGTATTATTTCAGTTCCTGTAAAATAAACTGATTTAAATTATGGAACGCGCGTGCTTGGAATTATTCAAATATTTTTTAGCAAACCTGACAGTTCTATCGTGTAGATAGTAGGTAGACTGTAGGTTGTAACAAATGAGGTGGCATTATCTTACTTATTTGTTCTTAATACTGGCTACATATAAGTAAGTGCAACTGCAAACCTCACGAAGCGAAATAAAAAACCCGTGTCAAACTTTATGTAGATGACTTGATTGGCGTATGCCTTTGATTTTTCCTATTAAAAGAAGAAAAAAAACAATCTGATGGTATGGATGGATGCTTGATTTTTAAATTCGGTAAATATAAAATGTTTTTTAACCAAAGTTGCAGAAAATATTCTTACAGTTTGTGTGTCCCATTTGTGAATTGAACCCAACAAGACCGAAATCAAGAATAATTAATTACTATAATTATCTAGTTCAAGTCTATGCTTCACACAAAGCATAAAGATAATATCTAAACCTTAGCCTTAACTGTAAACCAGTAAGTAATTACTCAAACTTCGTAACTTGTCCGCTAATGTCTTCAACGTCACAAAACAATTAAAAATACGCAATGAAACATTACTTTGGTCAATCCTAATTATGAGTCACTGCAGTTGAAGTTAATAAATATGTTTAACAAGCTTAAATAAATAAAACGTACCTAAGCTAACATAGCGTAAAAATGGTGCTATTTGTTCCTAGTTAAGACATGACCTAATCATAATATATTAATTTATTGTATCTGATAGCTTTACAATATTTGCAGTCATATTAAAAAAAATCTTGTTTTTCTCGCGTTTTTCGTCTTTTCTTTTCCCATTCATACCAAATGCCAAACTCCGTGTTAACCTAAAATGGCGTGCATGAACTGTTAGTAATTCATTACTATTATTATTAATTGTTACAATCTTTAATTTTATTTTTATACTTAGTAAGTTGTCAAAAATAAGGCCAACAAAACTGCCCAAACTCAATTTAATTTAACCCACCTAGACGGTTCTTTTCCATTTTCTATTTTTTTTTTATATTAGTTTAACTTTTCCTACCACCACTTTACATTTTGGCTTGTGCTGAGAAGAAGTGGCGAAAGAAACCCAGTTACCTTTGTACACATAAAGTTCATTAATCTCACAAAAGTGACACAATACAGCACACTAAAAAGTATGCAGCCTAATCTGTGAAATTAAGAGACAAAAATGTCATTCTAATCATATTAATATTCATGTTCCAAAATCAAAATGGTCAAGGTGAGAGATAGTTTCGAATGTGTAAACGTTCAAGGTCGAGTTAGGTAATGCGTTTGGCGCTTGTGGGTTTAACTGTTACCTCACACTTAACCTATGGGTGTCGTTTTTGGTGGATAAGTAAAAACGCGTATGATTGACGTATTTCTTGGGCAAATACGAGTATATCGATATGTAAGCTATCTTCCAGCGACTTGGCCCATTTTTTGCTTGGTTTTTATTTTCTTCCGGCAACTGGGCCCTCTCTAAGATTCTAGAGTAATTTTTTGTTGATTTGGTGTTCAATTTATTAAAATACACATTGAAGGTGGGCCAAGTTTAGGCCAAGACGGTGAAAGACTCGATGTTTGAATCTACTCTTGAACGTTCACGTATGAAGTTGATGAATGATGATGATGAAAAATGTGTATGTAATGTTGAGATTTCTAGCTAGGTTAATCATACAATTTGCTTAAAATAGGTGTTTGACCTTTCTCGACTGTAACACAAGTGGACTGTATACTTCATGAATTATTACATACAGTAAGAAGATTGTACAATAGTAACTATTTTTAGTCAGCTAAATGTTACTCTAATCTTACCGGTTTTGTTACAGGTAATATGCATGCAGTTTGTAAGTCGCCTTTTTGTGTCTATTTAGACATGCATACTAAACGGTGAGTATAAACATTATAAGATTTTTCAGTGTAACACACTCCGAATAACCTCAAAAAGTAAATCGCCACTAAAATAAAACTAATGCTAAGTACTGTCCACTACTGTCCAGTAATAATTTGGAAAAACAAAATATAAAACGACTGTCAAAAGAGTTTAAAAAAAGTTAAGGACTGGCCAGTCATGTAGCTCTGAAATTAAGTGACCACTAAAAAATAAACTAACTAATGGGAACTCCTTGGCCAGTGTCACCATAAAAAAATTAATGAAACGGTCCTGTCATAATTTCAAAAATTTTGTTTTTAAATTATGACAGGAACCGTTCCATTAAATTTTCAAATCGAAAATTCAAATTTTTTTCGAAAGAAAATATAAAGACTGGCCAGTTCTTTTTTACCTCTCTATCTTCTTTTGATAAATGTCTTTGCCTCTTGCCAGTGTTAACGTGTTTTATAACTCTTGCGAGACACTTTTGAAATGCTAATATCGAGAAGCTCTTTGTCAAAAGTTCTGCAACAGCGTCTAATAAATATGTTACTGGCATAGTTTGGGATTGTAAGGTCAAGTGGCGGTTAGGAGAGATTAACGGAGATATCTGAGAAATATTGGGGTAAAAAATTGTAGTTAATGATAATCGTAAAGGGAGATAGATAATGTTAGAATCATCATAGAGTCCGTTGTTGGCGAAAAGAGGTACCCTATGCAAAAATAATGTCAATTCTTTGTCGCTTTTCATTTTAGGGAAATTAGACAGAAAGTGAAAACGCGTTAATTATCTTAATCGTATCTCTGTTATAATGCATATCGAGTTTAAAACCAGGTAGCGTACAAATTAACCTAAATTAAAGAATTGTTTGTACGTAAGTATTTGCTATGAAGCTTATTCCGGATTTAATTTGCGAACGGTAAAGGTAATGAGACGAATTAACTAATTAACGTTATTATTACCGACGAAATTGTAATTATGAAATTCAAGTTGCGTATGGACGAACACGCACAATAATATAAAACGCATTCACGGCTATAACTTTGGCCACGCATCTTTGTTATTCGGTTAAGGATTTGTTACTCTGGTTGTGTTCTGCGGTCTGCGGTCAGGCCATAGTGAACGCAGCCCGTATCATGTATGAACAACATTGCCGGTCAGAGCATTCGGTCAACGGTTCGGGCAAAACAACCTATCAGCGGTCTTGACAAAGCAATCTGTCAACGGTGCAGTTTGCGTTCTTTGCTCGTGCCTGCACAGTTAGATGATAGATCCAATCAATACGAAATGAACAAAGTTGTTTATACATGATGCGTTTACTTTGACCTGACCGCAGCCCGCAGAACGCATGAAGTGGACAGATTCTTTATAAAGAAGAGAAGAGAAAAAGAAAAGTAAGTCAAGTTCATATAACAAGCACCATTGAAACATTAAAACTATAGAATAGCATTAGGCAATTAACCTTCTTATTCTAACAGTATTAAGCACTACATGCTCTGCATAAGGATGTCTTGCGCAAACGCACATTCACGGGTCGTAGAGCACACTTAAAGTTGTCATTAGTCACCTTAGTATACAAGCTCTGCTAAGTGTAGAGTCGTGTAATTGATGTGACAGTTGTCTAAATATTAAAAGTTTTACAAAAATTGATTGTCTTATGTCCGTTTTCACTATCAATCCCTAATTTTTAAGTGACCCCTATGGTAACACTTAACAGAAATTTTGTTTTCGCAGTGGTAACTTCAAAATTAGAGATTGATGGTAAAAACGGGCATTAAATTCTTTTCTGGCTGTGTGGATCTGACTGAGAAGAATGGAGCCTCTACTTTTCCCGTAGAATCGTTAAAAGACGAAAAAGGGACACAATATGCGAACATCATGCTCCCCCAACCCTTCTGACCAGCATGGGAAGTGTACGAGCGGGTCAAGTCAAATCTTGTATTTGCCTCCAATGAATTAGAGAGGGTCGTGCAATGATGACTACATGCCCTAATGATGATAGGTTATTTGTAAATAAAATTGACCTTGACCCCAATGCAGATGCTTAGGCATAGAGTAGATAGCTTAGAAATAAACTGTATGCAATTTTATTGTCAAGAAGTTGTTGTGTTATGTGGTGGCAACTTTAATCACCACTTACACGAACGCGCTCAATTTTATCGAATTTGTAAATGCGAATGGTGCTAGTTATAATGATAAATATGACAGGTACGAGTACATAATACCTAATTTCTATCTATGTTTGTTGATCTAAATGTTGAATAATTGAACTTTAATATATTATGGTATTTTTAGAAGTATAAATACACACAAAGTATCATACCCTGCCCACGATTATGTTTTTTCTGCATGCATGCATTGACTAATCACGCGTTAGAATTGAAAGTCTATCAGGTTTCTCACGTGGCCTTTCGAATTTAAGCTTAGAACCTAGTTCACCTTAGTTCACCTTTACTTATCATAATCTATGATACTACACAAATTCAACTTACAATCACAGTGAAGCTGTCAATCTCGTCACATCACTAAACTGCATTTGTTTCACACGTGTGCACTGACAGTTAACACAAATCACTGTTGACAGTACAATGTACAAGCGATGCAGCGCGGGCTGCGCACGAGTGACTGAGAACCAGGCAGGCTTCGCGCGATGGCATTTCGCAAGCTGGTGAGCGGTCAATGTTAGTAGGCGATGTATTGGGGACACCTAATCCTGATAATCCTTATTTCCTTAACCTTTGGTTCTAATTCCTACCGTTTACCTTTTGATTTTCTTTCAATCTGAAACATTTCTCTAAACAACTGTAAACTGGAAGCATTTGATTCCTTGTGATCGTATGTAGACTATGTAGTGAAGACGTCTGTGTTAGTAGGTGAACTATTGGGGACACCGTATCCTGATCTTTATTTCCTTTAAGTAAATTAAGTTTTGATTTTCTTAGATTCTAAGACATTTCTCTAAACAACTCTCCTGATTGGAAGTATTGTATCCTTTTCATCGTATGCAGTAGAGAGGTCAATGTTTCTATTTCCTACGTCAAGACTCTTTGCTTTTCCATGAATTCTAAACATTGTCGGATTGTTAAGATGATTTTCCTGTACGAAACGCACGCATACTTAAATGTACTTCAAAATGCGTTTCTAGTTCATCAAACTACATTTATAAGTTCATGGTTTAATAACGACTCTCCCGATTAAAAGTTTAGATATATTTTGATTGTTAAAGAGACAAAATTATGATCGCCGACACTCATCGTTTGGCACAAAGCGATTGTCGGTATGTCGTAAAAATAAAAGTACTAAATTATGGCTGTACTTACTCGTATTATGTACATTTTACAGTACATCAGATTTTACATACTTGTTCCAAAATCGTACTTATTAGAACCACATAGATGCCACAATATCAAACTCGATGTGCATTTGTCTGTTCCACATTGCATTTAGTTATGAAATCACCATGATGTTCTAAAGAGAGATGCTCGCACGTTTGTCATACCGTCCCAGTATGGGTTCAACTTGACACAAAGGCTGTTGCAACATTCAGTTTACAGTCACAATGTGGGTATTTGAACTACTTCAACTCGATGTTCTTATAACTAGCGGTCCGCCCCGGCTTCGCACAGGTAGATAAGATTAAAAAAAAAATTATAAAATGTTCATAAGAAAAAAATTGGAATTCTAAAGGTGAAAGAGTTTTTCAAATCGGCCCAGTAGTTTTTGAGTTTATTCGTTACAAACATACAAAACTCAACTCAAATACACAAATCTTTCCTCTATAAAATTAGATATGAATTCAGTGCGAAAGCAAACTCTACATTGGCATACCTAATAAGAATTGTATTGGCTATCATCCAATTTGAATACTTCTTTAGTCTTAATACCTCCACTACTACTGTCATTAGGGTATGGTTCAAGGTAGAGAATAAAAGTAAAACTACTAAGCGCATTGTATGCAGTTTCCCACGAAGTGTACATAAGCCCCATTCATAATAAATATTAACTCTTCAAAACATCTCAAAAGAACTCTCTTTAGGTAATATGCTTTTCTTCACTCATCGTCTCAAATTATGAATGAACTTAAATTTTCAATAACTTGAGGTATTTACACCATTAAATTTTAAAAAAACCATAACGAACTTAAACGGAAAAGGTTCTAAATTATAATACTATTGTTACTTCGATAGTGAGTGTAGTGGAAGTTAATTAAATGAAAGAGTGGACTGTATACAATTAATTGTCTATTCGGTATAAATTAACAATGATATTGAGACCGTTTAGTGCAAAGTCGTTGAAGAGAGTGCGTCAGGATCGTCTTCTTCGATGTTCGCTCGCGAACCGAACATTGCTCGTTCGTTCGCCGAACGCTCGCCGCTCCCTCCGGTCACGCCGCCCGCGGGCAATGTCCGTGAGTAGACAACTATTATGCATTCTGTGATAGTACCTAACATACTTATAATCTTTTCTAACCTTACTTCTTCGCTGTGTATCTAGGCTTACCAAAAAATATGGGCATAAATGAGTCTCCGACGCCGCGACGTGTGAATTCATAACATCATTGTTAACTTTGTTTACTTTTGTTTAAACTACAGCCGTATTAGGGCTCGCTTTTGCAACATCGCAACGTCGCGAACTAAAGTCGGGTAAAATAGCAAAAAGTGTGTACTTTTCTTAATAACTTCCTGTGGCATTATGTAAATGTGTCGCATGCAATAACTCTTGTAACTTCAAGAGGTTTGTGTAAAATATGCACCGTCATGATTCACTTTTGATAGATAGATATTGGTTGATCTACAAACTGAAAGTTACGAGTATGTATCGATAGTAATAATTATCCCTTCTTCGTCTTGAGTAGTTCGCATATTGGACTACTAATATTACTATGTCAGAAGTCTCAGTTTCGATCCTCGCATAGTACAAAAAATATGTAATAAGAAAAAAGTACATTGATATGTTTATCTGTTGTCTGGCACCCTTAGCACAAAACTGCTTATTTGGTGTCTAAATAGCGCAGTGTAATATTTATTCATTTATTCATTCCAATCTTAGTAGGTTCCAATCTCTAGGTAGTAGTTTTGTCAACTGCTCTTGAATATTTTCTATTTTACTGACTGAATAAGGTTTATCTTATCAACAGATAGAGGCTGTGTGAACATATTGATTTAAATTTCACGATTGGTCCCGAAACAATTGAATGTATAATTCTATCAACGCGTGTGGCAATGGAATGGCTATAATAAGGACATGTGCACTTGATGCCAACCGTATATTATATAGCTGAAGGGCAACTCCTGTAAGGCGAGGATCGCGTAACATTCCGTGCGAACCGAACCGCAATAAGCAACCGTGATTTGGTTCGCAATGTTCGAACACAGACCCTATTAACTCCGAAAATACCTCTTTTATTCCTTCCACTTCCAATGATTATGGCATTTTTATCTTTATTGGATCCGAACACGGCAGCTGCAGATTTTCTGGTAATTTCAACGCGTGCCACTATTATTATTATATGCCATTAACGTGGCTCTTTCATCTGAGTCGCGTATTATCTTTCCACCTACTAAATCAGTTTAATACCTTTAGCCTAGCTGCAGACATTTTGTCGGCCGATAGTTGGGTCGGAATGTTAATCAGTATGGACATGTATGAAAGTGCGCAAATTGATATCGGTCGATTCTTCATACAAATTAGAATCGGGCCCAACTATCGGCCGACTAAAATTATGTAGGCTGCGGGGAATCATAGGCACAACAGTCATTTGTCTCCCGCCTTGCATCGGAGGGAAGTCGATATTATATTTCGAACTCTTACCTAATCTTCTGATTAAATTCATTGAGAGTTCCAAGACAGATATCCCCCCGAATTGCTCGACTTGTGGGTTTACCCAACCAGTGGGTTTTCATTGAAGGCCACTTGGTAGATCCTGGCTATACAGGAGTTGCGGTAGTGGAAAACTGTGGTGGGGTATGTCCTGCTAAGATCTGCTGAAGCAATGGTGAAATAAGCCATAATACAGTCGAAAAGTTGGGTTGAGTAATGTGTAATGTAAATAACATCACTTTTTAACGACTTAATGAACTAACAATGTTAATAATATAGTTACAATGAAGTTTAATGACCTAAAAATGGAAGTTACTTGCTATCTACGATTAAGTTCCTCAGTTACACAATGCAGGACACAAAGTACAATTAAAATCGATTTAGGCAGGAAAGTGAACATTCAACCATCCTTGTAATAACTTAGATCAATTAGATTGTATCAGTATTCTTTGTTGGCAAGGGATTTGGCGTAATTTCAATTTAAAAATGCAATAGTAAATTTATATTGTAACGCTTACTATTTACCTTAGGTAGGTCTAACGACTCGATCCATTGGTGGAATGATAGACATAGAGTAGTAAAAGATTTTTTAAAATTTTAAAAATGCAACATCATGGTAATAATTTTTGAGGATTGAAATAGTATTTCCTCCTGCCGTAGAATTGGTGCACCTTATGTTATTACTAGCTTTCCGCCCGCGGCTTCGCCCGCGTGGAATTTTGTCTGTCACAGAAAAACTTTATCGCGCGCGTCCCTGTTTCAAAAACCGGGATAAAAACTATCCTATGTTCTTTCCCGGGACTCAAACTATCTCTATGCCAAATTTCATCAAAATCGGTTGCGAGGTTTAAGCGGGAAAGCGTAACAGACAGACAGACAGACAGACAGACAGACAGAGTTACTTTCGCATTTATAATATTAGTTGGGATTAGTTGGGATTTGTCTTCATTTGGCTTTGATATTATTTGTCTTCATTTGGCTGTTAGTGAAGCCTTTAACTGACATAACAAGTCCAAATTTTTTATTGTTTTTGGCCCATAAGACAAGGGAATAAAGTTTCAAAATATGACGGGAGTAGGGTTAATGCCCGTTCCCTAACTTTTAAGTGACCCCTATGAAAACAAAATTCTTGTTGAGTGTTACCATAGGGGTCACATAAAAATTAGGGATAGATGGTGAAAACGGGCGTAAGTCTCTTAGTATTGACCTTTTTGATCTTTGATTTGTGATGACTCCAACTGTTAGGGTTGTCCTTTCCCCTTAGACTTTGACTCCTTTTACAAAGTCTTCGCGTACATGCGCCGAAACATGTACCAACCTTTGGACGATCGTTTTGCGAAATGATAGCTTTAGCAATAAACGCATACGTAATCTCCTATGAATGATGCGAAACTTTATTTCCGAAACACGTTGTTAATTTTAGCATTCGTATAAAGTATTGCCGTTGGATTGGCATATAATGGTCGTTGGACAAGTAGATATAAAGAATTATTGACAACTTCGAGTAAATAGGTAAATAATTGTTCTATAGTTTTGTATAAAATCAAACGACTAAAGGTGAAGTAATTTTAGTATCTATCCTCAAAATCAAAGAACTAAACGTGAAGCAATCTTAGACTTTAAGAACACCAGACAATAGGCGTTTTCTGGGCACCCTAACTCACACCCGTCTTCACGAACATTAGGTACTATGAGGTCTCACAGTGCTCGTGACACACACGAAGCAATCACAGAGCTCTATTCAGCGCTGTGCGTTCGATTTGCTGCTTAACTTCACCATAAATCCTTTAAACTAAGTAACATCCTTAGAGATTGATCGAGAGCAACTACGCTTAAGTGTCTTATCATTTAATTTGGGTCATTAGTCCCAAAAGCTCTACTTTGCAACTTTATTAAGTAACTTTCGCGACAAGTTATCGAACGTGTTAA